CCCTGCAGAGCAGGGAGCCCGATGCGGGACTCGATCCCGGGACTCCAGGATCATGACCTGAGCCGAAGGCAGTCGCTTAACCAACTGAGCCACCCAGACGCCCCCCTTCCCCCATATCTTGTGCACTCACTGGACCAGCTAGTTTTCCTCCCTCCCCTTTAATTTGTATCTGTAAAGATCTATACACTGTATCTGTAGAAATAATTTATATTAACATTAGGAACCATATTGAAAATGCTATCACCGTCACTTTATAGATGAGGGAGCTAGCAATGGGACTGGCCAATGTGACACAGCTGGTAAGTGGTGAAGCTGAGTCCAGCCTGGGGCCCTTCCCTGGGCCAAGCACAGCTGGACACTAAGGACCCAGGCAGACCCCACTCAAGTTTGGCTCTTGCCCTTAAGAAGCTCACACCTGCCCTGTCCAATGTGGTGGCCACATGCGGCTACTGAGCACTTAAAATGGGGCTAGTCTAAATTGAGAGGTGCCTTAAGTGTAAAATGTAGTGTACATGGATTCCAAAGACTAGTACAAAAAAGGATGTAAAATAACTCATTATTAATATTAATGATATCTCATAAAATATTTATTTTTATATTCAGTTGACTTAAATAAATTACTAAAATTAATTTTACCTGTTTCATTTTACTTTTTGAGTGTGGCTTCACATTACATGGTGGCTTGCACTTACGGCTCACGTTCTACTCCTACTGGGCAGTACCAGCGTGGACGCTAGCTGTGCTCTGAGTATCATAATCCCAGTGTCATCGAGGTGCGATGGAGGGAAGCTAGAGTCCGTAGGGGCCAGAGGAGAGCTGATCATGCCTGGGGGTCAAGAAGGCTTCTCTGAAGAAGCGAAGCCTTATCTAGCCATGAAGGACGAATATCGGGCAAAAGGGAAAAGCTGACATAAGCAAGGAGGTCAGCAGGCGCAAGAGAGTCCATTTGTGACCTCTACAAAGCTCGCTAGAGTGTCTGCTGGGTGTTGGGGACTGGGAGGGATGCAGGTGGGCAGTCCAGGGCAAGAAGGGATTGGAAGCCAGGTTAGGGAAAGTGATCCTTATCTTACGATCTTAGGAAAGATGAGGAGCCACTGCAGAGCCGGAGTGTGGCATAGGTGGGTTTATGGATGGACCAGTGCGGAGCTCTCCGAGGCTGTGCAATGGTACAGGAGAGGGGTAGTTGGCCTGGTCTGGGCAAAGAGAGGTGCTGGGATGGAGAGGAGAAGCTGGATTCACAGGAGAGGCAGGAAGAACAGACCAGGCTTGGAAGCTCCCATCTCCTCCTCTGGACCTTGGGATCCTGGGCAGTCTCAGCTCCACCACCTGGTTTTCTGTGTGACCTTGGCCATGTCATGGCCCATCTGAGTCTCAATTTGTTGTTGTTCTTCTAACAATGTTGAGCAAGATTAGCCCCTAAAGCCCCTTCTGTGTGCTCAGCCACGCTGGGAGCTGTGTGTGGAAGAACAGAGGAGAGCAGGCCCCTGGTCTCTATACATCCCGAGTGAGGAGCCCCCCGGTGAGGAACAACTCACACACTGGGACAGCAAATGGCCAGTGAGAGGAGCAGCTCAGCCTGCAGTGAGCTCTTTCTCAGGGCGAGCGCTTTAGCCACAGGAGGACATGGTTCCACTCCTGACTGCTGTGTGAGTCTGGACAAGTCATTTCACCACCCGAGCCTCTGTTTACTAGTCTGGGCAATCCTCATGAGGATTGAAATGGAATGACATATCCATCTGATGTTGGCATCAAGCAAGTGCGACACACACGGGGTTACTGTTACTGAGGAAGTCCCTGGGACCTGCTGCCTCTCACCCCACCTACCACCCCTGGGGAACCAAACCTCAAGGCCCAGAAGGGCTTAAGTGGGGGATTAAGGCAAGACTAGAAGGAAAGGGAAGGGAGACCCAAATCAGGACACAGATCCTCAGCCCCTAGCAGCACCTTCCTTCTCCACTCAAATACCGTAAAAAATCACTAATCACCCACTGTGTGCTGGGCCCCAGACAGCTGCATCTTACCATCTCTAATAGAAATCCCCAAACTAAAAGATAGTCTTCCTACTCTGCAGATAGGAAACTCAAGCACAAAGGGGCTCCCATTGCTGCCCATCCCCAGCAAACTGCTACTCAAATGTCCCTGCTCTGGGTAGCTGCTGCTCTCCCCTGACTGGGTTAGGAGGTTCTTTAGTGCTTCCACAGCACCCCTGGTCCACTGCATCCTGCAAGATTTGGCAAAGCCTTTCCTGACTCCCCAGGCATGGAGCAGGTGCTCAGGAAATGTTTGCTGAATGAAGAAATGAAATTGTGAAAGGCAGAAAAGATTTGCAACGTTATCTGGTCTGACCCTCTCAGTTTACAGATTAGTATGTTGAAGTTAAGACCAGGACTGGAATTTGTGTCTTCTGACTCCTGCCCAGAGCCTTGAACTGCTCTTGAAGGCTGAGTAGGAGCTCTCCAGGGGGACAAAGGGGAGGAAAAGTACTTCAGAGGGAAAGGCATGAGCAAAGGCACAGTGTGAGGATGGGGGAAGAGGGAGGTGCCTTTAAAGAAAGGTAAACAGGAGGAGGCAGGGGAGGAGCTTAGGGCTGGAGGTCCAAGCCTCCAAGGGTATCAGCCACTATGCTAAGGTGCTGGTGATAGGGAGCCATCAAGGGTACCAGGCAGGTCATGGTCAGAGGTCTTATGTATGACTGTACAGGCCTAAAGATGCCACCATCAGTCACCCATCCCCTAAGATTCAGATAGAAAGAACAAAGTATGTTCCCACAAGATTGCGTGAAAACAGTCACGTGAATCTAAGATTTCTTAACTTGCACTCCAGGCTCCAGCAGACTGGACCGTGGGCCCTAAAAGGGGACATGAGCACCCAGGGTCTCTCGCGGTTCATAGCAGTGGTGCGTCTTGGAGCCGCTAGCCCACAGCTTCACTTTTCCCCGCCGGCCCAAAGTGCAAGGGCAGCCACTCAGCTTGCGGGGGGCCTCAACGGATCCGTGATGCGCTCCAAGTGCCAGGCGCGCATCCCTCTGTGCCTTGGGGCCCAGGGACTGTCAGAGCCGCTCGCACCCTCTTGCGGCGCCCGCTCCTCTCCTTAAGTTCCGGCTGCAGCTGCCTCGCACCCGGAGACCCAGTGGCTGCCCTGCCCGGAGCCCGCCACCGCCGCCTCCCCTTCCACCTGGCGGCTCCTCAGGGATTCTAAAGCCCCCGCCCCAGCCCGGCGGTTCAAGGACCAACAACCTGGGACTTCCGCCGCTTCAGAGGGAGGGCGCCGACCTCGCTTCTCGCGCTCCGCGCCCCCCCCCCCCAGTCCAGCTGTCCCCGCGGCAGACAAACGGACACCAGGTGCCCCCTGAGAGCTCTGGCTCGCCGAGTGCGCGGCGCGGGGCTGGGGAGCCAAGCCGCGAGCGGGTCCGAGCGGTGGTCGCGCGGGCTCCGCCACACCTGTCCGCGCTTCCCGGAAGCACACCTCGGCCCCGCTCTAGGACTCAGTTTCTCTGTCTGTAACCAGGTTGAAGGGTGAACTAGCCGGGGTGAGCTGACGTAGAAAGACGCGCGTCTCTAAGTCCAGGGGTCCACGCCCCTCCCCAGTTCCACCTGGCCCCACATTCCCGGTCGCCCGCCCACGTCCTTCCACTCCCCCCTCCCATCCGCCCTCAGATTCTTTCCAGATGTGCGCAGCGGGGGGGGGGGCGCGACCAGCCTCTGGCCGGCGAGGAGAAAAGGCCCCTGCCGGGGTCGCGATCGCGGAGGGGGTCGCACGCCCAAGGTGGAGCTCTCGACTGCGCACTCGGTACACCGCTCCCACCGAGGGGGCGAGTGCGGCGGCCCAGCCCGGCCCGGGGTAGCTGAGGGAGCCGTCCGGACCCGGCGGGGACGTCCGAGTCCGCCGCCCAGGCTCGGCCCCGACCCCTTGGCCCACCCGGCTGCCCGCGCCGGGTACCTGCTGCGCCCCTGCGCCGCGCCGCGCCCCGCCGGCCGTCCGCGCTGTTCCGAGTCTCCGCTGCGCTCCGCGGGCGCGGGCTCCTTCCATTCAAGTCGAGCCGTGAGCTCCGCGACGCAAGTTTTGTTGTGGGTTTTCTCCTCCCCGCCTCTCTCCCGCCCCCCCTCCACACCGCGTGCATCTGCTGGACGCCGGCCTCCTCCGGACACAGGCGTAGGGTCCCCACAGACGCGGGGGAGGGGAGAGGGCCTGCCCCCTCCCCGCGTGGACTTGGCCAGGCCCCCCTTCCCGGGGAGGCAGAGCCCCCGCACCGACCCCTCTCCCCCTCTCCGCCCCGGCGGGGCCACCGTACCACGCCCCCCCACCCCCACCAAGAGGCTGGGAAGGCGGGGTGTCTAGCCCGCAACGCTTCCTAGTTCCCGCCTTCCGCAGGGGAACTGGACCCCCTTTAGGCCCCAGCACCTGAGAGGAGGGCAGGGGAGAGGGCCCCTTCACCCAAGTGCCTCTGAGCCCAGTTTCTTCTTCATGACTGAGGATTCTGCAACCGCTCCAGGCACGAGTACCTTTCCGTTCACTCTCCCACCCTGGGGTCCTGGGCCGTGGCTAACGGGGCCGCCAGCCAAGACCCTGCCGGGCCCCTTCCCGGAAAAGTTCCCCGCCTTCCCCGACAACCTCTCCGCCCCCCGCCCCACGCCCACGTTGACCCTGGGCCCAGAGCCTCCTGGGCCTTGAAAGACTGTAAATTGGGCTGGGACTAGGGTGCATGCGGATCTCAGTCGCCGGGAGACAAGGGGGTTGGGCAGTGAGCCCTCACGGCACCATATTGCTCCCAGGAGCTGAAAACGTTTCCAAGTTAAGGAGCATTAACTACTAGCAGCTGAAGCAACACTGTTTGGCGCCAGGGGCTTTGGCGGTAGACCGCGGTGGGGCTGGGTTTAGGTGGTACTTGGCACCTCCACTGCCTCTACAAGGCTCTCCCCATACCTGCTCTGGCCTGTGGGCAGGGCACCCACAGCTACCTTACCTGGCTGCCCTCCTACTGGACAGGGAGAAGGATAAATAACTCAAACTTGGGACCACTTGCTCAACTTAAATTACCAATGCCCTGAATGAATGAATGGCTCATGTAAAGCATCTTTCATGGGCTTCTGCTGCTGCATCCTGATTGTACCACATACATTACTCTCTAAGCTTCACAACCCTGCAAGAGGATTACAGTCGGCCCCATTCACAGGTAAGGAGATCACCTGACAAAGGAAAAGTGATTAACTGAGTAAAATGGCCAGGTTTACCCTCCTTCCCCACAGCCCAAGTTCTTTCCATGATGGAAACAGGCAAGTAACTTGAGAAGGCAAATGCAGAGCCTGGATTTGAACCCAGAGCTGTCTGTTTCCATTACATCAATAACTCAAAAACAGCAAGAATGAGAAAGGGAAATATTTTGCCTTCTTTGGCCTCAGATTTCAGTTCTGAGCTTAAACTTGAGAGCTAGTATGATTCACAGGACTGGACAGGGGCCAACCCAGAGATGTATCTCCTGTCTTCTCAACATTGAGCCTAGATTCAAGTGGAGCTAGAACAAGATTCTACTGACTTGAATACCCATGAACTAAAAATCTTCTAGTCTAGAAGGACAATGTGAACCAGCACATACTGAATACCTACTAAGTGCCAGGCACTGTGTGAAATCCTTAAATATCTTAATCATCCCAATCCTGAGGGGAAAGTATTTTCTGTTACCTATAACTGCTGGGGCCAGCCACAGGGCACACCCCACATCTCTCCCACCTCACCCCCAGAGAAATAGGCTTTTCTGTGGAATGCCAAGCCGGTGCCCACACATACTCTGTAGCTGTCGGGTGCTGTCGACACACACTAAAATCACCTGTCTGAAACAGAATATGGAGGAATCACTTTGAGTGTCTCTGGTGGAAAATGGAGGTGATCCTGGTGCTCTAGAAGGAAATCCTCTAACTTTCCCAATAGCTGTAAAGAGTTGAGTTTCAAATTGAGGGTTCCCAATCCACTTGTGCTGCTTTGGTTCCTTCATGCCTTATTTTCAGCTCCTGTTTAATATTACTTTAGTGCCTGGTGTCAAGTACAAGCTTTGGACTTAGATTTGGGTTCGAATCCCAGCTGGGTTCAAATGGAGACATGAATAGTACCCACGCCTCACAGATTGTCTAAATTAAAAGAAACTGGAAGTAAATGAGAAAATGGAGGTACAGAACTCCTCACAGCACCTGGCACATGGCAAGTGTTCAATAAATAGCAGCTGTTATTACTGCCAAACTGTCACCGAGGCCTAAGCATCTATGAAACATTATTAAATAGAAATGACAAGTGGCAAGAATTAACCAGAAATCTCTGCATTATCCAGGGTAAGCGCCTCTAATTCAAAACAATGAGAAACAAGAAAACTCAAAAGAGGGGAGTAAAGACATACATGTGACCAGAGAACTAGGAGTGAAAGACAAGAGGGCTCTCATGGGGGGTTGGTGAGGAAGAAGGGGAGATAAGGTGTTGTTATACCTTCATCATCAGAGAAGAAAATAATTCCTCTTACTTTGAGCTGAGAGCTCAAGACCTTTCCTTATTAAGTAGCAGAGTCCCAAATACTGAGCTCTGGCAGCAGCTTGTTTTCAGCACAGAGATCAAATCACATGGTGTTGTTTTGTGTATATGGATTCCATCTGAAAGATCTTGATAAAAGACAAAACATCAAAGAACAAGCAGAGTATGATGGAAGAACCACAGGCCGAGTCAGATACAGAGAAGGTCTTCTGGGATCCTTGAACATCCCATAGAAACTCTTTTATTATTGGACTTTTTTGCTTTATGTTTTTCATCTCTTTCACCCATTGGATTGTAAACCCTCCCGGGCAAGAAGCTCACTTCATGTTCTGCAAGGGCCCTTTCCAGCCCTAAAATACCAAGACTGTAATAGGCAGAATGAAGACCCAAAGATACCCACACCCTAATCCCTAGAGCTTGTGAATGCTACATTATGTAGCAAAAGGGACTTTGCAGATATAATTAAGGTTATGGACTTTAAAATAGGGAGATTATCTTGGATTATCCGGTGAGCCTAACCTAATCACGTGAGCTCTTGAAAACACAGAACATTCTCTGGCTGGAGGCAGGAGAGATGAGGCCGAAGGGGAGATCAGAGAGATGTGAAACATGAGGACTCCACTAGTGTTAAAGGAGAGGGAAATGCAGGCAGCCTCTACGAGTTGAGAACCCCAGGCTGCCAGCAAGCATATGGAGACTTCAGTCCCACAGCAGCATGTCACTGAATTCTGTCAACACCCTGAGTGAGCATGGAAGCAGATTCTCCCCTTGAGCTTCCAGATAAGAGCTCAGGGCAGCCAACACCTTGACTTCAGCCTCAAGAGACCTGGAGCAGAGAAACCAGCCAAACCCACCCAGACTTCCAAGCAGCAGAACTGTGAGATAATGGATTCACGTCGAGGCAAACCACTACGTTTATGGTAATTTGTTAGAGCAGCAATAGAAAACTAATACAAACATTAGTAACTAAAACCAGTATATGGTACAACAGCATTTTCCCATACGTCATTTCACTTAATCTTCCACAACAAGCCTGATTGTATTATTGCCCCCCTGTTTTAGGAAACTGATGCTCAGGGAGGATAAGTTACTTGCTCAGGTGGCCAGCTAATGAGTGCTTGAGTCAGAATTCACACTCAGGTTCCAACTTCAGGGAGCGTGGTCACCTACACTGCAGCTGCCATTCTGTGGTCTTAAGGTTCTACTGTCTTCAGCTAAGTAAAAATGGGGACTTCAGAAAAGACAAAAACAAACAGACTCGGGCTGCTTTCACACGATGAAAACTGAGAAGCTTTCAGTACTCATTTCTTTCTGTTTCTTCCAAAGATATCTAGTAAGTCACGGAACAAGTCAAGTTATAAACAAGTATTAAAAAAAAAGTCTTCTTTCTGACACAGAGAAGAAAAGATTTTGATAAATGGCAAAAGGAGAAATCCTAAAGAGAGTGGCTATCAATGAAGTATTTTCTGCCATTCAGATGCTCTTCTAGCCACTGTTAAGGCACATCTTTCACAGGTGCCCTGTTTTGCCAGCCTGGTTCAGGAACATCTCTGTGTTGGAGCTTTTAGTCCACTCTTTTTTTTTTTTAAGATTTTATTTATTTATTTGA